TAACATAGTGTAAATTTGTCATAATTAAAAGACAGAAAAGCTTTGATGACTGTTTTCTAACAGAAAACGCATTTATTAAAGAAATAATGAAATATGATAGACTTTATGTGCATACAATTGAAAAAATAGTTCCAGATTTTAGGAAATATAAATCAAGGAAGAGATAACGCTTAAGAGCCAATACGTCCTTCTTTTTTAACAAACAAAATTTGATTTTATTTCCCCTGCTTCCAGTCTCTCCAGGCTGTAGCGAAATCCTAAGTAAAGCTAATCCCAAACATCTTTTCATTAAAATTAAAAGTTTGTCGGATTAAAATCTCTATAGCTTCATTTAAGATCAGGATATTTGTACTTTTGCTCACATGAATTTTGAAAGAATCTCGACCTCAGGATTAGTCCTGAGGGATTCTTCTTGGGTCTAGAAAAACAAGCTAAACATTTTAATAGAAGTAGAACAATGTGCAAAGGTTTTGAGCCACCCCTCAAACAGAAATTAGTTTCAATGATTTTTGAAATATGCAACCATAGTTGTACAATTATAAGAACTAATGTAAGAGAAAATAATAGTGTCTGTATCTCTATCTATTTTTGATGAGCTTATGATGGACCTCTAAAGTTTTTTTTTTCTTTTGTTTAATGCAACTGCTGATTTTGCAAAAACTATACCTTAGACCCTTTAATTACATTACCTTTAGCTGCGCATTCTTCTCTGACATGAGGATCCAGTTCTCACTGCTGTCTCTCTTAGAAATGTCTAAGCAAAGAGAATAAGTCGTGTCAACACTAGAGAGAAATCCTTCAAACAAAATGTAACCTTTAAAACACTGCATTCTGCTCTTTTTTCACCCACCTTGATTAACCTCAGACGTTGTCATGCCTGTGAGGTCTTGAGTAGGGAGAGATGTGTTTTTCCTCTTCTCCCTTTCCTCCTGCTCTTTCAACAGCAGACCTATCACCTCATTTGTGGACATGCTTTGTCTGTCCTGCACTGAAGACAGTCAAAACAAACCCTAAAATAGTTTTCAATACAGTGCTTTGAAACAGTTTTTGTGTATGTGTGTGTGTATTTTTCACACTTGCATGTTTCACATCGTTAAAGAAATGCTGCTGATCAAAAGGAACTCAAAGGCTCATCTCAAATTTACCAAAAAGCATTCCCCAAGAATTTTGTGAAAATATTCTGTTGACTGATGAGACAAATTAAAAGGTTTTGGAAGGTCTAATTCTTGTTACACCTGGGATAAAAACAAAAACATCATACCAACAGCCAAACATGGTGCTGGTTGAGTGTGATGGTCTGGGGCTGCTTTGCCGCTTCAGGACCTGGACGAGTAATTGATGGAACCATGAATACTGCTCTCTACCAGAAAATCCTCAAGGAGAATTTCTGGCCATCAGTTTGTGCCCTGAAGCTCAAGCTCATGAAGTACAAATTAAGATTTTTAATTGTACTAGTCAAATCTGATCAAGATGCTCTGGCATGACCTTAAACGGGCTGCTTAAGCTTGAAAACACTTTATTATGTGAGAATAAAAGCAATTCAGTAAAGAAGAATGGACCATAAATTCATACACAGTGATGTCAAAGACTCGTTGACAGTTATTCCTAACATGTGACTGCAGTTCTTGCTGCCAAAGCTGGTACAATCAGTTATTATGTTTGGGCGGCAATTATTTTTTTAGACAGGTTTAGATAGTATTTTTTCCAAAATAAATTAATTCATCATGTAAAAACTGAATTTTATATTTATGTCGGTTATCTTTGCCCAGTATTCAAATTTATTTGATGTTCTGAAACATTTAAGTGTGACACATATGACACAGGAAAATAAATTAAAGAGTGGGCAAATATTTTTTCACAACATTGGAGTTAAGTGCTATGTTTACATTTTACAATTTCACAACACTTTTTTTTTTTAACAAATAAGGTCCAGATTTCTAAACAAGTATATATTTCATCCGATGAAATGACACTACAAATATCACCAAAACTTTGTGAAAAACTAGCAATTAATTTTTACATATGATTTGGGTGCTTACCTGGCTGTAGTGGCGAAGACATCTCTTAGCTTGATGCTAGATTCGCTGTTGTTCTTACAAACAGACGTTTAAAGTCAGGTTTAGCCGCAGTTTCTTCAAACTACAAACAGCAACCATATAACAACACACTAATTCATAACAAAAGAAAAACACTGACTGCCCTACTGCAAGGTGATGCTGTCATTCTTATCATTTTGTAATTACACCAAAATCTTAAACTGGAACTAGCGTTAGCTTAGCTTACTTAACCCTCTGTGTAAGTAGAACTGCTAGCTTATCGACACCGTAGAAATTAGCCTTTATGCTAACTTAATGATAACACTTTTTATGCATGCTTTAATTTAAAACATGGTGAATTCAGAAATAAACTAAATTACCAAATACATAAAAACTCAATGACTGCACCCTCTGAACATACTCTTTCTCTTTATCACATGGATAGGAACACTGGAGCCTCAAACTTTAATGTTTAAGATTAAAAGTAACAGACGACTGTCCTGGTTACTGTTGCCTTGTTTTTCTTCTTCTTCGTGACTATTGTTTAAGACTGAGGAAGTGGACAGTGTTTAGAGGAACTGTGTAAAAAAACTGCAAGAAATGTTTTAAATTTTCTGATGTTTAGATGCAAATGTTAGTTCCATGTGCAAAAGATGATTAAAAAATAAATAATACTGTAAATAATAATTATTTACAGTAATGTGCAAAAGTCTTGAGCCACAGCAATTGAAACGTGGGGTAACATAAATGGTTTTCAAACTGAGTTTGTATGAGTCTAACAAGCTTGGATGACAATATTTGTTATGACCACTTGTGTTTTTGAATATTGCCTGAAAGATAGAAAGATAAAATTATTAAGTTGTCTGTTATAATTGGTACAACAGTGGTTCATCCCTTGAGCTGGGTGTCATGTTATGCTTGAATGATTCATAGATCACTGGTAAGTGGCATAACAAATAAAGAGAAAGAAATAAACAAACCAAAATCCCCTTTAATTAGTCAGATACAAAGACTGTAAAAAAATGCAACTAGTGTCAATAAAAAAGAGAAGAAGAAAACTTTGAAAGACCTTCAGAAAACCTGGGGAACTATTGCTAAAGAATTTCTTTTTTTAATTAAAAAAAAGTCTGACTCCTTGGAATCAAAACCAAAAAAGAAAGAGATGGGTGTCTCAAAATTATATATTACTGTGCATTTGAGTGGCTACGACTAATAAATACAGCAAAAAAAAAAAGTATACCATTACATTAATGTAATCAGAATGTATACAGCATGAGACAATGAGGCAATACATGAGAATCGTTATTTTGTGGTGCAGACCCAGAAAGAATTAGACCAACACCAAGGAGAGCTGCAACCCCCAAACTTCAATTAGCCCCAAAACTCAAATAAAAAAAAGCATTCAGAGCAAGTGTTGGGATATGTCACAGTGAACGAGCCTGGATACTCATATTGAGGAACCAGCTGTCAGCACCTTTTATTTTAAAAGGAAATATTTATCATGTAAAGAGTGGCAATGCTACCCTCAGACTACTCTTCCGTAAAAGACTCTACATGAGGCTGGAAAAAAAGTAATGCTTCAGTGCCCTCTAGAGACAAAAAGAACATGAAACTCTATGTGTCTTGGTGAAGTTTTCTGCGAACCATGAAACACTTTAACAAAAAATATACATGAAAAATTACAGATTCAATAATGAGCTACCCCGTGCACATGCATTAGACAGCAAGCGCTTCAGGTCAGGTGACAGAGCTCTGGCCTGATAGTTACCAGGGAATGATGAGTGACAAAGGGTTTGCTTTTAAGTCATGCCGGAATCATGACTTAAAAGCAAACCCTTTGTCACTCATCAGGACTGCAGCAAGCAAGCAATTCATTGCCCCAGAGAGGCAGTTATTCCACAGCAACTGGAAAAGACATCGCAAGATGACAAAGAACCACCTTTAAAATGTATTTATACTTTTATTTATTTGTTGTCATTTGTGAATTGTACATCACAATATAAATATATATATCATTGCCTCCTTCCTTTTCTTCATCTCAATTCTTCCTCTATATTTTAAAAAATTTGCTCAATCTGGACAAAAAAAGAAAGCAAAAATAAGGAGTTAACTTTAAACTATCACTTGTATAAACTGCATTGAGACAGCTGGATTAGACAATGTCTCAGAATAGGGTATGCTCCTGTAATAACTGAATCATAATTTCACAGTGTGCTACTTAAAAAGGTTTAAGCCCTGATATGTGGGTTACAGTACTCCCTCCCACAGGCCAGATTATGCCATCTGTGAGAAAAAAAACAGTATATCTGTGTGTGTGTGTGTGTGTGTGTGTGTGTGTGTGTTGGTGTGCGTGTGTGTGTGTGTAGCTTTCAAATAAAATTCTGAGTGTCTCATTTCACTCTTAATCCAGGTCATTCCTACTGTGATGTTAATAGCCTAAAGGGGACCGACACACTCCTGTTTATGCCAAGTAGTTGATCTGAAGTGAAGTGATAACACACACATAACAGACACCCATACACACAAAAACATAAGGAGCAAAAGTTAAAGAATGCACAAAACGAACCCTTAGAATTGAGAATGCTATGCAAATTTTAACCACTGTATATATTTAAATTTTCTGCTAATTAATCACTGTGTTAAAACTGTCAATAAAATTTTTTACTGCTTATCAAAAAGTGATTAATGGCGTACTTGTGTCTGTGTCACACTAAAGTTAAACTTTTCATTCGGTCTTGATTTGATGTCAAAAACTTGAGGTTGGCACACGAATATCCGATTCATAGAAGGTTGACTTGTGGCCCTTAAAAATAGGACTAATACATCCTGAAATAAAATACTGGATGCCATGGCGACTGTGATTGGATGACAGGAGTAATCTGCTGACTAAATCCCCTCATGGCTCAAGCTGTGATTTGGACCGGAGATTTGTTTTCAGAGTGAACTCCGCCCTGCAGAGATGACTGTCAACGTAAAGTACACTACAGAATGCAGCAGGCCAGCAAATAGTCTGTTTAATTTGGAGGAAACAGCTTGGACTCGACTTTGACAGCTTCTTCCCTGCGTGCTGACGTGAACAAAACGAGCCAACCGGCAAGCCAACGCTAAAGCTATTCTATGGTAGGACAATCATGACCAAGTTTTCAGCTGCTGCTAATGTAGGTCTGTTGTTACAGGTTGTGTTTTCTGTATTAGTATAAGAAAAAACTTTTTTTTTCCTGTACAAGTAATTAATAAAATAATTTTAAAAACTGAAACGTCATACTCCCACCCCCCAGATTCTGTGATTGAAAACATTTTTTAAAATACAACGTTATCATAGAATTGAACAGTTTTATATTTTAAGTGATCCGTTTGTTGTTTCAGTGAACTTTTGTTAAATGTTACTTGTCTAAATAGGAAGCCTGGGTTATATGGTTCAGCTAAAGCTAAAGCAGTCTAAGGAGGACAAATTTAAGTTGTATTTTCCAGGGTCACAAAGTTTTAACATGAACATGCTACAAAGCAGTCCTTTTGTCCTTTGTCCATTCAGTTATTGGTTATTAATTGATCATAAATAAATACATGAGGCTGAGCTAAAATTAATTGATAATATGCATGATAATAACAAACTAACAGACAGCCCCTTCCTTTACTCTAACCAACAATATAAGCATGTAGTTTTTTGGGAATTGAAGAATGGACCTCTGATGCTACACCAAAATCATTCCCTCAGTGTCAGTCAAGCATTAAATGAGCATCCACTCCATAATTTAACATTTTCTTTGAGCTTCAGAGCTGCAAAAACAGCTGTTAAAATTACATATGGTAGTTTATGTTCTTGTTGTTACCAATATTAACAATGTGCTGGCATGGCCATCCCTTGTTTTCATCTGATATAGATGTGTAAACAGGAATGCAAATTCGCTGAAAAAACAGTCGCACAGTGCCTGTGTTAGCTCCCCTTTTGTCACAATAAGGTTCCTGAATAAAACAGATGTTGCAGCGAGTACGTTAACCTCTTTGCAAAAATGGACAATTACATACAATAGGCGTACCACTTTGACAGGTAGTGATAAACTGGGACATTCAACAGCAAGTGGCCCAATGTACAAAGCAGCAAATATTGAAAAAAAATCCTCAAAGGTGTCATTTTTAATTTGTCTCTCTATTACATGTTCCCCACACACTTTTTTAAATTGTAAAAGCATGGAAAGCTAACAAGCATACTAATGCATTGTGCATTATGCATTACAGGGTTGCTTTTTAAAAATAAAGACACATTCAAAGTGAGATTATTAACTTAATTTGAGAACATTAGTGACTGTGTCGACTTTGTGCATTAATATGTTGATTGTTCTAGTCCACAGGTTGCAGTAAGCAGTGAGCTGTCAGCTCTGTCCTCTGACTCCAAGCAGCTGGGGAGATGTGAGAAGGGGTCATGCCTCTGGTGAAGAGGAACATTGAGCCTCGGCACCTGTGCCACAGTGCCGTGCCCGACGGAGTTGGCAACGAGCTGGAATGTGTAACCAACAACACGCTGTCCGCTATAATTCGACAGCTCAGCAGTCTGAGTAAGCTTACAGTTGATCAGATTCAGAATAAAATATCAATGCGTCTTTAACCTGTGCTCATTACATGCAACCAAGGTGTTGCCACTATTAAGCAAATCAAAATTTAAATCATAAGAAAAATTATAAAATAAAAAACCTAAACTAACTAAATATTCAGGGCATAATTACTTCAAGTTGTGAAAGATCGTTAGAAGTGATGGGGTGGGAAACTAATTTGCACACAGTGATTTTTAGCTTGATTTATTATGCATTTAACAGATCGATTTGTCACAACTAATACATAATATGGACCAAAGTACTTGGCCTCCTACACCTTACTTCTAGAGGAGCTGCTCAGCCATTGAAACTCAGGCCATGAAGCTCCCAGCGCAGTTTTTGTGCTGATGTTAATGCTAGAGGAGCTTTGGAGCTCTGCACTTTCTCCCTGCTCTGTAAATTTACATGCCACTTACAAATGATCGTGGAGTATTTAGGAAAGAAGGCATTTAAAAAACTGACTTTTTGTAACAGTAACATCCTGTTGTAGCACCACACTCAAATTCTTTAGGAGGATTGACACTGTTGAAGACTGCTTAATGCTTGAATTTATACATCGGTGGCAGTGGGACTGAAAATATCCAAATTCAAAGATTAAGAGGTGTGACCTAATCCGTTGGCTACATAGTGTATATCAGTCCTGTAACACAACACAATGCGCATTGAGTTTTCTGGGGATAATAATTTGACATATTGACATATACCCTCTATGTCATGGGAGTGCTTATGTTTTCTTAATCCTTTAAAAGGGATTATCAGATAAGAGTGTCACTTAATTGCTGGCTTTGAATGAGGGGAGAAACAAACAAAGAACATATTTTAAGGGTGTCACATTTGTCAGTGTGTGATTTGTTGCAGTCGTTGCAAAAATGCATTTCACTCTGTACACAGGTTTGTGCAGAAGTACAGTGGTTAATGTTAAACATGTTGTTGCAATGTCTATATCCTAGAACATATCCTTTGATAGTTTGTACATCTGTGTGTGTGTGTGTGTGTGTGTGTGTGCGATTAGTAAACTTACCGAAGCTTAGAGCTTAGCGTACAGATTTGTACAACAGCACGATAAGATGGAAAGTAACTGGGCGGAGACACAAACACAGGCAGTCTAATTATAGCTTTTACATTAAGCAGACTAGAGCTGTTTGAAATGTGCCCCTGACTGTGTAATGGAAACAAACATTTTGAGCAGTTTAATTTAGATAGTTGATATCAACACTCTGCCTTTAAGGTGCCATTATCTTTTAAATGTTATTGAGATTTGACACACCTTTCCAATTATTGCTTTTCCTCTATTCTCTCCCACTTTCTTGCTCTGGTTGCAGGTAAGCATGCAGAAAATGTTTTCGGGGAGCTTTTTAATGAAGCCAACACCTTTTACGTGCGCGCAAACTCTCTTCAGGATCGAATTGACCACTTGGCCATCAAAGTCACCCAACTAGACTCCAGTGTGGAGGAGGGTTAGTTCATTGGGTATCAGTGAATCTTCTTCTGTTTGTTGCTATGGTTATTCCTACACGCTTTATATCAAACTTTCCTCCTTAATTTTGCTTTTTTAAAGTTTCCCTTCAAGACATAAACACGAGGAAGGGCTTCAGAAGCTCGAGTGTCCAGGACCAGCAGGTTTTATCCAAGAGCAGCCTTCCTAGTGCTGTAGCCGACATGTACAACAGCAGCGACAGACCTCCTCCTCTCAGCAACCTCACTGCTTACAGGTGCTGCACTGTTTTTCTTTCTTTTTTTACTGTTCTAAAGTTAGATATCTGTCTTCAGTTAATGTTGGAAATTGGTTTTTAAATACAGAGAGGATTCTACTGATGCAATGAAATACTACTCTGACCCGTCATACTTTTTTGACCTGTGGAAAGAGAAAATGCTTCAGGACACAGAGGAGAAGAGGAAAGAAAGGCGGAGGCATAGGGTCAGAGTGCATTTTACCCATCTTGTTTACGCATTTACGTATTTACTTACTGACTGCTTACTCAAACTCTGTATTCTTGTTGTTTCTGCAGGAACAGAAGCGATGTGTGGACAGCAGCACCATTCAGCGTGAGGTGAAGAAGGTCAGAAAGGCACGAAACCGCAGGCAGGAGTGGAACATGATGGCGTTTGATAAAGAGCTCCGTCCAGATCACAGACATCCACAGAGTCTCAGGCGAGGAGCATCCTCTGAGGGCTCCCTTTCGCCAGATGGGAGGTTAGAGAAGCTACCAAGATTGTGTTTTGGATAGGTTTTCAATGTATTTTTCTGTATAATACAACGCTACAGAGGGAATTAAAGAATTTCCCAACTTTGGGACTAATGATGTAGACCTTATTTTATCCTAGTTGTATTTTTATGGAGAAATTTGTAAAATTATTGTAGATTTCTGATACTTTTAAAATAAAACTTAGCAGATGGGTGTGTGTGTGTGTGTGCGTGTGTGCGTGCGTGTGTGTGTGTGTGTGCGTGTGTGAGTGTGTGTGTGTGTGTGTGTGCCCAAAAGGAGGGGTAGATCCGTTTTCACAAATAGGACCTTGTGACCCAAATTGTAATATCTTTGTTGTGTAAAGCGTCGGCTTTGATATTATAACAACAAATCTACCATCTGGATCTGCATCTGCATGACAAACTCTCTTTTACTGTTTATCCAGGCCTGACCTCTTAGATTACCCCATCCCTCCAGTGCCTGCCCATGCTGCTTGTAACTCTGCCAAGTCTCACGATTACGTTCCTGGGAACACACATCCCTCACCACCTGTGGAGCATGAATACCAAAGCATTGATGTCAACTACAAGAGAGTAACCTATGCCGCAGCAGAGCCTCGTGCTGCAGACCGAATGAACGGTTCAATTCGTCTCCCTGCAGATTACAAGTATGTGAGAGAAATTGAAATATAATATACTCTTTTTGAGCATCTGCAACTTAATCCTCTTTCTTTTACTGTCACACAGGTCTATCCCACCACCTCCTGCCCCCGGCCCTCCAATCCCATCAGCCCAGACAGCCTTTGGTTTTCCACTGGGTGCACATCCTCCAGCGCCACATAATGGCGTTGGGCACGCGGGCCCGGGCTGCCCACTCCCACCAATACCTCCTCCAGGGAATCACACGGTCCCTCCACCCCCAGGTCCCCCACCTCCTCCTCTCCCTCCGCCATCTGCACCCTCACACCTAGCGGGACACAGTGAAGGCTGCAGACGAGAGACCAAACCTGTGAGAGACGCAAGAAGTGACCTGCTGTCTGCCATCCGCATGGGTGAGTCAGCGTGCTTAGACGCAGTTGGCATTGCTTCCACCTGGTCAGATGAGCACAGATGTGAGCAGCTAACACTCTGTGCAATACAGACATATAATATTCTGTCCTCTCTCTACATGTGTGTGCCCTCATTAGGCATCCAGTTGAAGAAAGTCCAAGAGCAGCAGGAGCAGCAGAGCAAGCGGGAGCCGGTGGGGAACGACGTAGCCACCATCCTTTCCCGACGCATTGCAGTTGAGTACAGCGACTCTGAGGAGGACTCTGAGCTCGATGAGAATGAGTGGTCGGACTGACAAAACACTGAATTGGTCTTTTCTCCACTGGATCTTCAGCACAGATGAAAGAAAACTGTGAAACACTCCATCTAGCTCCATCTAGTGGAGTCTTTGTACCAAGCCACTGCTGCCAAAATACCTCTACCTTGTGGTTTTTATTTCTACTTTCATAATAAATATTTCATGAGCAACTGAACCACTAATCTAGCACATCTACACAGTTTGCACCATTTTGTTTTGTAACAGGTAAATATCCTCATTTCAAAACAGAGTCAGTGTGTGATAAATCACACAGTTGGAAATGTGACCCATTAGTTTCTTAAGATTGTCTTTGTATACTGCTTGTTCTAGCAAAATGTCCTTACGTGATGACCTCCTATCTTTGTCCAGCAGCATCCCAGCGGAGAGCATTTCAGTGTAAGAAAAGCATAGGTATAAATAATACATGTTACCATTGGCTGACCTCCACATAGCTTCTTCAGTTTCGAGGTCTTTGTATTAAGCACGCTGGCTCATTGGCACACTACCTAACTAGCCAGCTCAAACACTCAAACATACAAGTAGAGCAAGCCTGTGCTTTCCCTACTATGACAAGTTATGTGCTGTGATATAAACAAGCACTGAATCATACCATAATATTGAAAGATTCAAGGGTTTTTGTTTTAATTTAATCTTCCTAATCTCACACTTAATTCTATTAGTTTTGTAATAGCTACCTCAAGTTGTAACAATTTCTCAGTTCTGATTGTGTGTATGAAAGTATCATGTCTGACATTAATTCTATTTGTTGTGATGTGTCTTTACAAATACTGATATATCAATAAACTTTCCAAATTAGCAAGAAAATCATGCTATCATTAAGTCCTTGTCTTTTTTCTTCTTTTTTTTTTTACTTCTTTCTTTTTAACTTAAACTCCACTAGAGAGGTCAAAACCCACTTGAAAATTATTTATGGATTTTTGCACAACCTTAATGGGGACGGGCCAGTGGGTCAAAAATATGTTGCAGAGACATATGATGAATACACATAATGACTTTGAATGACCGTAAAGACAAATATGACCTAAGCAACCCTGCAGACATACAAAGTAGCCAAAAAGAGGCATAGAGTGGCTACAAAGAGATTAAAAACAGGCAAAATCAGACAGAATATCATAGAATTTGAGCAGAGACACAAAAATATGGTCACACAATGACTACAAAATGATGGAAAATTACCTCTATCAGACAAAAAGGAGTAATATAATACACAACAAAATCAAAATTACAAGTAAATGATCACAAAGAGACACGAGATGGCTAAATTCACTGATCAACTGAGAACTAAAGTGATATGTAAATTTAAGTACATAAAAAATGATAATCAAAACAGTCAATGTGCAAATGTGCAAATCATTAAAGGACTTCATATGAACGTATGATTTATATATTTTATCTTATTCTTTCCCAGTTAAATTTACCCTTCATTCTAATTTGTGTTGTACAGTTATTTCATTTTTAACTTTAATTTTTATATTTTATTTTATTTTATTCCTTCCTAGTTAACTTTACCCTTTTTAATTTTTCATATTTATTTCCTATCTTATTCATAGCCTTTTCTTCTTTCTTTTTTTTTCTCTTTAGGTCACGAGCAGTTGTCTAAGCATTTCACTGCATATCGTACTGTGAATGACTGTGTATGTGACAAATAAAATTTGAATTTGAACGCACCAAAACTGGTAACACTGCCTTGCACTCAAATAATTTTTTTTCATTTAATTACCAGTTTTTGAACAATAATTAGGTGATATTTAAATAAGGAATGAAAAAAAATCACTGTGAAAATTTTTCAAGTTACAGTACCTGGAAGGACAATGAGGTGATTCAAAAGTTTGTGCTCTCAAAACTGCAACCAAATCAACTTTACAGCCACTTAAGTTACAGAAACCAAAACCGTTTTTAATTCTACAACCAATTTTTAGCTTTAATTTTATAGGCTATATCATAGTTTCAATAAAAAATATAATATAATATTAAAAATGCTAAATTAATTATGGAATATAA